CCTTGAATATCAGTCTAAATATTTTTTATTTCCTATCATTAAAATCCAGAGCACCTACACTGAGAACCTTTCCTATGCTGCCACGAATAAGAAGCTGATGATCAAAACAATGAATTCTCTGTTTTTCTGTTTTTGACCTGAATATACTGAGTGTAATAAAAGCAGGAGGCCTTTAGAGTGGTTCAGTTGTTGAATGAATGACTTGGAGATGCTTTAACCCCCAAATTCCCAATAAAATATATCCTATTTTGTGTCCATATAACTCAGCATACATTATATTTTAAATTTAAGGAGGACGGAAGGAAAAAAAAATGCATGAAAAATCCAGGTGAGGGCACTCAAGGTGGATGGGCAGAATAAAAGTCCTTTATTTTGGTGAGACATTTACACACGCACCAAGATGTTTTGACTTCCTCCAAATTTATTCCATTTCAATACAGTTAAACTTAAGAAGCTGATTTTTTGTTGCTCATATCATGGAAATGTGATAAATATGTATATAAAGGCTCATGATGTGTGTGTTTTTAAACTGTTTGCATGTGTGCCACAGTTGGTTTGTGTTTACAGAACATGCAAAAGGAGAAATGTCCTGTCTGTGCCCCTCTTTGTCTGCAGCCAGTGCGAACCAGATGGACTTGGAGGCTGCAGGGAGCAGACAGGTTGCATTTCAGGACAGTCGCCGCTGCTGCCGCTCGCTCCGCAGCGCCCCGCTCCGGCCTGCCGCCGCACTGCCAGGAGAAGCCGTGTGCGCCCGGTGAGCGACTGCCGCTGAAGACACAACACCGCTGTCTGCACTCAGGTAAGAAAACCACGACATTTTTCTCGTTATTTCACCGATCCGATCTCAGCGTAATCGCGCCGAAACACCGGAGAAAGCGGGCGACATGCGGAGCGAACGGCGCGTCGTCATTCTCCATCGGCATTCGTCTTGTCACTTAATATTTTTTGCATGAGGTGGGAGAGGTTGGGCCTCGGTGCGTTATAGAAATATGCACATGAATGTTTTTTTTCTCAACATGAGAGCGTAGATCCTCCTGCGGCTGCTTATTTCGCGCGTTTTGGCGTTTAGAGACACACTTCGATTGTGCGCAAAATGCATCTCCATCGATCCTCATCTACAACAAACAGTGTTTTTGTTGCAGCCATCGTCGCTGCTCCCCTGAAGGAGCAGAGGAGAGGAGCAGTCACCTCCCCACAAACACGGCTCATTGCATGTTTTCTCCTCATTCCCCTGCAGGAATAAAAAATGTCTCCATCATCTTCCTCCGGAGCAGGTCCTGCCTTCGCCTCAGCCGCTCCGATCTTGTCCTTGCGTGTGCTACAAGACTAATCCGCCACAATATTTATAATCTCATTATTAAAGGATCCCACGAGGACAACAATGCAGTGCTATTTCTTTTATATTTACTGCAGTTTAAGCAGCGCTTCTTTCCTTTGTGCGCCTGCTGTCAGCTCTGCACGTTGCGCTTCTCCCCTCCCGTTATTCTGGATCTTTCGCTTCTTTCTTGCATTTGAGGGCCTAAATGGTTTCTAGCATGGCTGTGCGTACCTCACAAATGGACTCCTTTATTCTCTAAAGCGAGATCCTGCACGTAAAGCAACGCACAAAAAAACAACAACAAGCAGCCATTGGTTGTATTGCATTGATTTGCGTGCGTCTCCGCCGTATGTTCATATTCTTACATTGTTTGGAGAGCTCAGACTGTAGGAAATTGGAATGATGCGGCGTCTGTGCGCAAATGCCAAGCCCATTTTTCATCTGCTCAACAGTGGAGAGTCTCTGCTGTCACACAGCCCGAGCAGTGAACCAGGCTGTTTATCTGACACATATGGGCTCCTCAGTAATCCGCCTGGGGTCAGCGGACACGATCTGATCCTCAGTAGGTGCATGCAAGGCTTTCACCATGAACCCTTTAGACAAACAGTGTGAAAACAATAGGGCCTGATGAGCTGTTTTTTTCCCCGCTGATAAAACCTGTGGCCTGATGGACTGAATGGGTTTGTTGAATTCTCTTGTCTCCTTCTCCTCGGACACACCTCTTTCCCATCCTCATGGGTTCTTGAGCGCCTCTGGTTGCATTGATTTCTCCAACAATTACAGGAGCTGTTAGGGAGGCGGGCATGTTGTAGGCTGTAACCGCAGCTGGGAGCCATTCCAGCCGGCCAGATGAGAAAGGAATGAGAGACATCTCAGTGTCATCGTGTTCGTGTTGTGATAGACTCAGGCGGCATTCTGCAAGTTTCTGCAGCGCTTTGGCATCAAGAGTTGTTGCTGGAGAAACGGGCTGGTATGCACATAGTGAGGACTGGCAGGGACTCCTCCCGTCCAAAGAATTGCTGGACTCCTTTTAAATTAAATGATGCGTTCAGATCGGCTGTCAATGCATCTCTTTTACAGAAGGGCTGATTTACAAACAGCTAACTTCAAACCTTAAAACCTTGTAGTAGAAGTGGCAGAACAAAGCTGAGATCCTCAGACCTCCAGCTGGGGGCCCAAGGTCCACTCTGTGTGCCTGATTTGATTCATAGCTACTGGGAATTTGCTCCACTGAAGTGCTATATCAGCTGTGATGGGTCTTCCACCTCCATGTTGGGGCTCTGCACTTGTAGAAGGACTCGTTGGTATTGTTATAAACTCATAGTTCGTATTAGGGCTGAACGATGTGCAAAAAACATCAGATTTTGATTGTTTTTTACAGATTATTGCAACGTGACTCCTGATCTTTAGTGGCTTAATGGTCATTTGTTTTCCAGCGATGAAGAAATTGTTAAAATGATCGTGACTTTTGCTGTAATTTGTACCAAACAAGCACATTTGGAGAATATGATTTGTGGGTCGGGGCATCTCTGTAGCACCACAATGCATTTGTTTTACCATATTGATCACATATTGTCTTTGGCTGTATTGCAACCTCGACAGTGATCATTTGTAGTAAAGTTGGGAGTTTCTCAGTCTGTTAACACACAGGAAAACAAAGGTTTTGTTATTGTGTTATTGTTTTGTCATTTTTATCGTCAATACATCTGTCAGTTATTTCCTCGAATGATAATGTGTTTAAAATGTCAGAAAATAATACAGTATAAATGTCAGTATTCCCCGGATGCCCCAATTAGCATATTCAGATGTCTTGGTTGGTCAGAAAAGATAATGAGTTTACAATTCTAGAAAACACAGCTGCGACCAGGGAATGATGGATCCATTATCAAAAAGAACAGTCGATATTCTCTCAGATGACTTATTGATTGATCATCTCGGCTCTTGGCCATGTTTTTATAAGTGTCAAGGGAAATAATAAAACTATAGGGGCCAAACTGGTTTCTGCCCTCGAGCAGGAGGTTAATCTGACCTTGAATATTGTTTTGTATTTGGTATAAAAACTCGATTTCAAACCGTCACAACTGACACTTCAGTTAAAGGAAACGGGTCAAGTTGAGATATTTACCGAAGCCAGCTGTGACTCAGCCTCAACTATGTGGGTCATAGTTTGACATGCGTTTCATTGGCACTGTTGTTTTTAGATGGTCCGTTATTGTAATTAATGTCAAAAAATCTTGTGTGTAGTTGCATTTTGGCTTCGTAGAGCAGCGTACACACTGGAGTACTATAGAGACTTTAGTAGCGATAAGGGAAAGGTCAGAATCGTGCCGCACAAGCCGAGACATTCTGACATTTAGTCCCTATAGGAATCAAACTCCCACTCTCAACGCTGGATCCTGCATCTCCCATCACTCAGCTAGATATCATCTTTCAGCCAGTGTTTTTTTTCCCCTCATAAATATACACGTTTTAAACTCAGAACTTCCAGATTGTTACAGGTTTCCATTAGAGATCTTCACACTCAAGCCCAGACTGAGATAAAGCTTGATTTATGCCTCTCTGTTGAATCTACGCGTGATGAGAACTTCCCAGAAATGTAATTACACGTCACGGTGGCGCAGACATCGACTGTAATTGGTAGTGATACGCTGTGTAAACGCCACATAATGATTTGTGGAAGGAAAAGTAGAACAAAATATAATGTGCAATAGGCTGTATTTGTCTTTTTAGGGGGAAATAGTGCACTTTTTTACAAAACACTTATTTAGATTTTCGATTAGTATATCATCAGCTTCTCACACTTTTTAAAAACTATGTGTTCTTTATTGAGTTTCCGAACATCTTAGATGCTTTCATTTCATTGTTTGTTTTGAGGCATAAAGAAAAAAAGTCATTCATGATTTCACAAGATGTTGAAGCATTAGTCATCTCACAAACCCCATGATCCTATGTCGTGGCCCGAGCCTTAAAATAGAAACTCCTGCACGTGTTTCACTAGTATTACCAATTAAATAATGTCACATATAGTCATATATCAGTTACAGGAGTTGCATTATTTGAGAGAGGAGTGAAGGAAATCATCTTTGTTAGACTAGAACATCTCTAGACAAAGAAGGGAGTCTATGACAGCACATATCAGGTACTTAGAACACGGTCCTGAGATCCTCAACAGGCAGCTTCACAGTCACAGCTGGAGGAATGTGAGTCACACATGGGCCATGAGTCATGTGATTTAGGGTGGGAATAAATACCTGGGACCCCCCCATGTTAGAACTAAGGATTCCCTCTTGGATGCCAGATGAAATGTTTTCAAGAACCAAGAGGAGAAATCCAGTCGCTCTTCAGTGAAGCACTTTTGTTGTTTGCATGAGTTTCCTCCTACGCAAGACTTTAGCTTGTACAGGAGTGTTTTTACTTTCTGGTATTAGCAGTTTTGCATAAGTAAAGGATCCAAGAACATCCTCCACTGCAGTTTAATATAAGGTCACAGTTTTTATTTTCCAATATTTCTTTGAATAGACACTATCTCCATCCCCTTCAATCATAGTTCTGCATTAAACAGCCCACATCAAAGACTGATGGCCAAACCAGCACAAATTCACATTTACCCGTGAAGCTGCTGAAAAAAAAATCCCAATAACTACAAACACAGACAGTTTTGTATCAGCGTCTGCAAAGATGCAGGCGAAATCCTAAGTTTCCGGGCCTTGACATGAAACAATCGCTCTCCTCAGTTTGGCTGCTGATGTTATTGAGTCATCGCCTTCAATCACATGTCCTCGAGCGTCGTGCATTATGAAATGAATCCACACTGAAGCGCTCCACTTAGCAAAGACTGACAGGCCATTGCCTCATGCAGGCTTCAGCCAAAAGGTGACCGCATCCAGCCAAGCGTCATCACGGATAGACCTGCAGAGCTTAGGCTGGCAAAACCAACAGCATCACTCAGATTGCTTGTGTAGAGTGGAGCTTTCATGCAAGTCACTTGGATTTACTGTATTTGACTTGAAAGCTCAGTCAGTCAGTGGAGTTATTGATTTCGGAAGTAGTCATTTTAGCTATTTTTCAAGCCAAAGTGCTAAATATTCTCTGCTTTCAGCTTCTCCAAAGTGTCAATTTGCTGCTTTTTTTCCTGTTTTATATAATAAACAGAATATCTTTTTGGAAGAAGTCACCCTAAGGTTTGGGAAATTGCACATTTTTGACATTTTTTGATTTCTCTGTGGTTCTATTTTTGCTTTATAGCCAACTGTCTCGATAGTATAACGACAAATTGATTTAGAGGCTTGTACCTGACAAAACTAATACATTTCTTTTTGCATGTGTGCCTTTATTCAATAAGAAACAGACAAGATAAACCGGAGTTGTAATGTCATCCAAGAGAAGCTGCTTCTGTTTTGAAAGCGTCGTTAAAGAGAAGAAGAAATGCCACAGCAGGTCTAAGCTGCATTCTTGTACACAGTTAATTGGCGTCATGCTGA